TTAGAGTTAAATATTTATATGGCATTTCCATAATGAAAAGCGCTAAATCACTGCAAATTCATTCTCACAACATCTTTTCCAGGTTATTAAGCAAGGAATATTGTGTTTACCAACAATTCGTTTATATAGTCAGTGCGTTTTCTGAATCAAAGATTGGGGCACTGTACTTTGAGAAGGATGAGCAGACTCATTGAGACTAGAGGACAGAGTATTTGAAATTAATGCTGTATTAGATATGTGGTTTGCTGCATTCAGACTGCTGCCCAACCTCTCTTTCTTCTAAAAAGGGCACCCGTCATAAAGAAGTGTAGTTACAAAGCTTTCACCAGTAGGCTTGCTTTATGACTCTAGGTTAAAATGTACAGCTCCCCCCTGAGCACAATAAAAAGGAGTTTCCTGTACCTGCTGATCCTGGGGGCCCCACACCTGGAAGGAAGGAGCACAAAACTCACCCCTTTTTCCAGATGGGTGGGAGGGGTCAAGGAGCCTCCCAGTTTTAAGCTTCTGAGGAGTTGAATATAATTTTGCATCTTGGACCATCACTGTCTTGTCTCTGTCACCTGCATTTAGAAGGAGCAGTTAAGTATCCTCTCAAGTTCATCAAATTAACCATCAGCATGAGAGGAAGAGCCAATGGGAAGCCCTACATGCTTGCAGCCCTCAGGAAGCCCCTGAAGGCTAGGTTATTTTCAGCTTGACAGACAGATGCACAGACGCTAGATGCACAGACGGAAAATCTGCCGCCGTCGAATGCGGCAACAGGAAGAGGCTAAAGGCAGCGATTCAGCAGGAGGCACGATGCTGCCACACGGGTGAGGCTTGGCCCCGGAACTAACTCTTTTGAAATCATTTATAAGAAAGAAAACCTTGATCAGGGGCTCTAGTGCAAAAGAAGAGGTAGAACTTTTTTTCCTTAAGGAGAAAAAACTTAAGGCTACACAGCAGAAAATCTAGACCAATGAGTTCTTTTCTCTGTTGGATGTTTAGTCTGAACATTCCTTGGGTCAGACTTCACCATTTAAATGTCTGAAATAACATTAATCATGATTAATATTTTCTAATGTTGCTATAAAAAATATATTCACCTGAACTATAAAAGTTTGCTACATTCTTGAGTGATTTTATTGATCTTGGGAACACAAGTATCCTTGTGTGAACTGGCAATCAATAGGAAAACTGAATTTATATAGCACACATTTGTTTCACTGCAAATTTTGTGGGAAGATCATTACTTGGTTAAGTGGTGGAGATTTCCACAGAAGTCTAGAGACTTCTATAGCAAACCTCTCACTTCTCACAAGCCACACTTCCAGCAATAGTAACCATCTGGAATACAGCTGAGTATTTGATAGTAAAAAGAATGATTTCTGTAGCCAAAAAGGATGTTGAAAAGCTCATCACGCACATTATTTTGGAAGAGCCTGTATCCTCTCATTTTGTACACAATCTAAACCAACACTGGATAATTCCAGCCACAGGAGATGGAAAATAACACACAGTAAATGAAGGCTTGGGACAGAAAATATGAGTGTCTCCTTCCCCGGCCTCTGCTCACTTGTTCCATTTTCCCACTAGGTGGCAGTGCCCCTGGGCCCTCTGCTCCGCTCAGGCCATGCAGTTTTCTGGGAAACCCATCCATTCACGATTCTAGCTTCCACTCTCCTTCCCACGTCACCAAATCTGCACCTCCAGCCCTGCTGGGATGTCACCTGGTAAATCAAACTCACCACATCCCCAAATCCAAATCACTCCCGGAAAAGAGCTCCTCCCACCAGTCTTGGGACTGGCAGCTCCATCCACGCACAGACCTGGGAGTCATTCCCTACCCCTCCCTCTTCTTCGCCCTTCCTTCTCTGGGCCTTGTCACTCTTACACACCTTTGTGCCTCTTCTCCACACTTGTTGCCATTATCCAAGTGAAGGCTCTCTTCTCTTCCAGCCCAGGTAATTGTAGTGGCTGTCTAAGTAGTTTCCCTGCTCCCAGTTTTGTCTTCCTTCAGATCCATGCCAACAAGGGCATTACTGGCCCATGGTGCCTTTGTGCAAATTATAAAAAGAAGCCCCTTCTTCAAGATACTTTACTTCCTTGATTTAGTTAGAACAAGACCCTTTACTGCCATCTGCTGGAAATACTCATAATAAATATACAATTCTTTGAGGTCTATGTGAATGATACTTCCTTTAGGGTGTGTCCTTGTGCAGTATACAACCTGTACAACCATACATGTGGTCCTGGGAGCCAAAGTGATCTTTTCAAAACACAAATGTAAAAAATGAGAATCATTAGATTAAAAAAATGCTTAGTGTCAAATGGATAGACTCCATTTTCTGGAAATGATGTATAAATGATAGGTTTTTTGTTACACAATGATTTCATAAGGTGCCCTGAAATACAACTCTGTTTTAAGACCTACTCATCCTGTCAATTAAAAACTTATTACAGAACATTTTCTCATCATAAAAAGGATTATAAATTACTCATTCTCAGTATCTTACATTTACATTGTATCTATTGCTGATGAATACAAAATTCTTTACCAGAATCTGGGGCTAGCTTTTCCAGTCTATTTTTCCCTCACTTACATTGGACATGTCAACTGGGTCAATATTTACAGGTTGACCAACTGAAGTATGAATGTGATGTTCATTCTGGGAGGCGTGTGGATGTCTCGGGTGGAAGGGACCTCCCAGGTGAGCAGGTCAGTGTGCACTTGCTGCCGGATTGTGCAACCTCCTCCAGCAAGCAGGGACTAGAAACACAGTATGGTCTAACATCATGATGATGTGTGAGCCTGGGGCTGGTCACACCCCTTCTCAGGATAAAGGTTTGTGTGAGTGGGGTGGTGATGGTGAAATTTACCATTATGACCGTTTTTAAGTGAATAATTCAGTGGCATTAAT